TCTCTCTCTCTCTCTCTCTCTCTCTCTCTCTCTCTCTCTCTCCCCTCAACCATATTCTGCCATATGAGACCCCTGCATTGCTGTGAAGTCATCACTGAGAAGACCCTCACCAGATGTGTTCTCTGGACTTTGGACTTCTCAGACTGAAACTGTAAGCAATAAATTTTGTTTTCTTTATAAATCACCCAGTTCCATGTACTTTGTTATAAGCAACAGAAACTGACTAATACAGGATGTGTGGGGAGAACTTAAAGCTGCATCCTATACACAGACAGTGCTCAATAAATATTAGGTATTTGACCAGTAGTTATTTATCGAGCACCAACTATGTACCTGATCTCATTATAGTCTCTAGGGATGGACTGCTAAGCAAGATTGACAGAAAAAAAAAATATGACTTCCTGAAACTAATATCCTAACTGGGGAGAGAGGTATTGAGCAAATTTTTAAAAATACTATCTAATATGATGGCAGGTTCTATGAAGTAAAGCAAACCATCTAAGGAGATGGGAAGAAAATGTGGCATGAAGGTGGGGCTATTTTCAAGGTGATCAGGAGGTGACATTGAACCTTGCAGGAGACCAGGAGACATGGCTAGATCATGAAGGATATGAATGTCTGACTTAAACTAAGAGATTCTCTGGGGTAATAGGGAGCCACGGAAAGATGGGGAGCAGCCAAGTGATGCAGCCATGTAGCATTTTAATAACATCACTCTTCATTGGAGCCAGCATGGGACAGGGCATCGCCCAGGACAGGACTTTCCTACCTGCTCCAGCTGCTTGATGGTGTTTTCCTGCTGGTTGTGGATTTTCTGTTGCTCGATGGCACTGGATTCCAGCTTCCAGAGTCTCTCCTTCAAGCCAGCAACAACGTTTTCCCCCAGAAAGGGTGACCCCAGCAGCTCCTGCTTATGGTTCTGCAACATCTCCACTTCTTGCTTCAGCTGCAAGGTTTCCTGCTCCTTTTGCTACAGAGACAAAGGGGGCAGGAATCTGGTCACGTGAGCATGCCCACTCCTCCCCAGGGATACCATCAAAACCTGCCGGAGTGGGCTTTCCACTTTTCAATGCACTCCATCTCCACCTTGACCTCAATGCCCCCTCACAGCATCCCCTGTGGGATACCAGCATGGGCTGCTCTTTGGGACAGCTCAGACAGGTGAGAAGGGGTAGGGTTGTGGATGGGACTGAGGGAGAACAATGCCACAGACCTCAGAGCACGTAAAGGAAGTATCTGCCCCATTTGTAAGGGAAGTATAGGCACACAGCTGAAGCTTCACTGTGTGCTGGTGAGGCTGAGATTGAGATGTTGGAGCAGTGAGGCCATGTCCAGAAATGGCTCTTCCAAATTAGAAAATCAGCTCCAGGATCAAATAACTTTGGGGTAGATCATGAAGGGGCTGAATGCCAGGTTAAAGGGTTTAGAGGTTCTCCTGGGAATAAGAGGGAGCCACATAAGAATGAGGAGCAGCTGAGTGAGATACCCATGTCGTATTTTAATAAAATCCCTCTGCGTTGGAGCCTACACAGGATGAGGCATTGCTCCTGGACAAGGCTACAGCTAACTCATTCTCTGCGGGGCCTCTTGCAGCTCCCGATAGACACCTTGGAACCCATGCAGGTGACTGGAAGAAGATCATGACATCAAGCTAGGGAGGTCTGATGATCAATCTACCAACCACCGTTTAATTAAGACACGCAGGCCAACCAAGACATCCACACAGGGCTCTCTCCCCTGTCACCATTTGCAGCAGGTGCACAGATAGTTTCCTGAAATACAGCAGCCAAGAGCTAAGATGGCTCTGTGCTCCCCACCCCTTACCTTCAGCTGCTGCTGCAGCTGGCCTAGCTCCCACCGCACGCTGGTGTTCTCCTGGGTCACTTTCTCACGGAGGCCCTTCTCAAACACGGACTCACCCAGAGCCTGGCCCAGCTGCATGTCAAACCTGTCCAAAGCAGAACACATGTCATGGCATAGTGGTGGGGGAAACTGAGGCAAAGGTAAGGAGGGGCTGGAGAAAGCCAGTTAGTGTGCCAAGAACTATGAGAGTGAGAGAGAGAGAAATGATAAAGGAGTTGGTCAATGCTTTTATGCAAAGTTGTGCGTGTAGGGTAGGAATCTGGAATACCACAGCAATTTCTAAGGTTTACATAGTTTCCACAAACATACTTAATATTTATTAAAAATATGATGCAAAATGCATAGACAAAAATAAAAATAGAATAAAACTATATACAAACATATGCAGAATAAAAATTAGAAAATACACCGATATATTCAAAAAGCTAGTGTATCTGGTTTGCCAACATATGTCAAGCTGTATTAACTCTACCAGGCCCAGGTTTGGCATCCAATATTCACTGACCCAGGAACAAACGAATGAGTATATATATATACACACAAACAAATGTTATTCTGTATTTCATATTTTACATCATATTATCTGGTTTATGCACTCATAAGCCATATTAAAGCATGCTAGTTGTTGATAAAATGCCAGACATTGATACATTTAGTCTTGTCCTCATTTGCTTCCTATGAAGAAAACACAAAGACTAGACAGTCCTACTGGGAGTCATCTGGAGAATTAAGAAATGCCCCGTTAGGGGCCCTTCTGCCCCTCGGTGATGGTGACCACTGGGTGAGAAGCACTTCCTGGGCTTCACATCACTCCATTCAGTTGTCCCAGCTGCAATCCCATCCCAGATGAGGAAACCGATAGAGAAGGCTTTGCCAAGCCTCGGTAAGGTTTGACTCTGAGTCACTTGCCCAAACAGGAAGTCCCTCTGCTCCAGGGAACTTGGTGAACTTGGTGTGGCAGAACTGGGCATGGTGTTTGCACCTTGGTGACAAGAATGTTTCCCTTGTTACAAGATTATCCAATGTCCCCTAATACTAGATGGCCATTCAAAGTCTCAGACTCCTAGGAACACCTATCATGGGTCACATAAGGGAGCCCTCCCTTGGAACAGCCCAGGAGCTCTCTGATTGGCTGTTGGTGACATCACTCAAGAGGTGCTATCTGCTGCCTCTGAATGGAAACACTGTGATGAGAGTGATGATCCAGTAGTCCCAATGTGCCACGCTTGGGCTGGGGTCCAGGTAATCCTCACAACAATTCAACAAAAAACATGTTATTGTATGCATTTACAGAGGAGGAAACTGAAGTTCAGGGAGATGGAGTGATTCAGCCCCAAATTCCAAAGTGGTGGAAGTGGGTGTGAGTGCCGCTTCCCTAATGTCTTAGCCAGTCCCTTATCTACCTGTCCATCCCTGGGACAGATGAGGTAAGACAGTAGGAGCCAGACAGTGAATCACGTTCCAGAGGAGTCCTTGACTTAACAGGCCACCTGATGCCCAAGAACGGCTCCTACAGACACAGACTTCTAGAACACACTGACTGACCAACCACCTGTGGCCAGACAGATTTGCACATGCCCCTCACTCAGCTTCCCGTGAGTGTGAGAGTCCGTGAGCCTCACACAGGGCTAACCCCAAGAGTTCCATCAGCCCTGGAACCAAGCTTTGTGACCCATGGGGTAACCATGGCAACAAGAAGCCAACCCCAAATGGAACCATTCTGGGCCACTCTGAGAAGCCAGGGTGGGGACAGGGAGCTCTACCCTCATGGAGACATCACTCCATCCTGAGCCCAGCAACCTAAGGAGGCAGCTGCACCTGTAATTTATTAAATATGGAGAGACACAAGGAAGAGTTGCTGACCTCTAGATCGCTTCCTCGTCATAGTTATTATGCCCAAATTTCCACCATTAGACCGAGGCTTCTGCTGCCCCCGTAGGCTCTCTACTAAGATGCTAATACAACTGGAAAGGGAATGCCTGCTACCTACAATTAGCATCAAAACACAAATTAGCTTCTTCCAAGAGATGGTAGCAGAACAGAGGACATCACAAGACAGGTAAATTTTGAAAGGAAGAAATGTAAGTAAAATGAGAACTTTCCCAGGGGGACATTATGGGGAGGTTCATAAGTCACTGGAATGAGGAGTTCTGCTTAAGGCATGAGGGAAAGACCAGAGAGATGGACTTTTTCTGGCTGCACAAATTCCAAAGTCTGGCTCCTTACTCAGCAGGGAGCCAAAACTCTCTCTAAAGCATCTCAGAACAGGAGTGGAACCCACAGTCGAGGACCAAGATGGTCACAGCTGGGAGAAACCTGGGGGATGATGGAGTCCACACCTCTCATTTTATGGATGGGGTCTGTCAGAACCATTCTTTGGCATCAGGTGACCTGTTAAGTCCAAGGACTCCTCTGAAACATCAGTCACTCTCTGGCCCAGAGAGGTGATATCATTTGACAAGGCCACACAGTGAGTGGCCAAGGTGGGGCTGAGCTGCTTTCCCCACTGTAAGGGTAAAAGGTTTAGTTTGAGCACTCAGGGGAAGGTGGAGAAGGGAACAGAGTAAGATATTAATAAGAAGAGAGTAAACTTTTATTTTGAGGAGCATGCTAACAACCCTCAAAAGATCTTTTATTCTTTTTGGTTTTTCAGATAAAGCCAGCTCAGGGAAATTCAAGGATATATGAGAGAAACAATATTTAACGAAGATCAAATTCAAAATCTATGCCAACCCCATGTTAATATAATTCTCTTGCTACCTCTTGGAAAACCATGTCTTGGCTCATGTAGGAACGTTTTTCCAAATTTTATCCTGGGTTCCACCTACTTCCTTCTATGAGGTCTCCATTAGGGCTTGCCTGGCTCAAAACAGGGCCCCTGTACACCTTTATCCTCACCAAGTGAGCTGAACAACTTTAGACACAGCCAAGCTGTCCAGGGATAAACGCATCACAGGCTCTTAGGCTCTGCGTAAGGAAGCCCATGGGTGTGGACCTGGGTACCTGTCCAGGCTCCACCACTGCCTAGCTGCAACAGCATCCAGACGAGGAAGCCAGTATAGGAACCAGCGTGCACATTCCAGGTTGGTTTCTTGCTCACACATAAGGTCCAGTCCCTGCCGGTATTGCTCACATGATCTGAGAATGCAACCCCTAAATGAGAACAGACTCCATTTTTTTGGGCGGCGGCCTCATTTCGTCCATTTGGATGTACAGTACCAAACATATCGCTCACCACAAGGGGGCGTTTTCTCCCCCAACCTACGGATAAGGAATGGAAGGTTGAGGGTTCAATGACCTGACCAAGGTCACACAACTAGATCAAGAGGCACTGCTGGGACTTGAACCAGGATGGTTTAATATCAGCGCTGGGCTCCTAACCCCCATGCTAGGCTGTCCTGACTGTACATTGCAAACCCTTCACTTGACAGATAGGGGTGTTGAGGCCGGAGATGCTTGGCCAAGTTTGCATGGCCAATTGCTCCCAATGATGAGACTGAGTAAGAGAAAAGAGTCATGTCTTGCTGGAGTCTTGGGAGAGCCATACAGGAATAAGGTGTGGGGGGAGGAGGAGGCAAATTAGGGCAGAACAAGGAGATTGAGCCCCATGGATGAGGAAACCTGGTAGAAGTGAGGGGGCTTTGGAGGAGAACCTGGAGACCCCAGGAGACCCCAGCCCCAATGCAGCCTATTGTGGTGCCTCAGGTGATGGTGTGGGATGCAACTCACTTCTTCTGCTTCTTCTCCAGCTCATGGTTTCGGCTTTGCTGGTTCTCCAGGAGCACACGGGTGTCCTCCAAGTCACAGGTCAAATGGTGGCACTTCCTCTTCAGTTGGTGAGACATCTGCTTGGCCCCCTCATAAGCAATTTGCAGCTCCCCAAGCTGTGAGAGTAACAGAACGAATTACTTTGCTCTCTTGGTGCTTTACTTTGTATCTCAAGGAGTTGCCATTTCCAAGATGGGAACACTGGAGCTGGAGAGACCCTGTCTTGATCACTTTCTACCTGTGTCACCTCCAGGAAGCTACTTCTCTGAGCCTCAGTTTGCTCAGAGGTAAAAATAGGGTAATCACATCAATTTGTTAGGATTATTTTTATTTTTCCTCAATAACCCTCCTGCCGACACACTCATAGATTCTCTACCTGCCCTGCCTCAACTTGACAGCCCCTTGGGCACCAGGTAATTCATATCCCCATCAGTTGGCATAAAAGATGGAAATCTGTGAGGATTAGCCACGGAGCAGCCAAAATGACACACTTAGAAAATCTGATCTGGAAACCCAAGAAACAGGCCTTAAAGGTTAAAGTTGTAAATGGCACGATGGATGGGCTGAATTACACGGGCATGCACATGGCCTTAAACAAACAGAAAAGCAAAGCTCCTTGCATCTTCCTCCAGGAGACACCCTCCCAAATGTCCTAGTTTGGATCTGTGAAAGAACGCAGCTCAGCACACTCTTTGAAGAAATGGCCTCATTAAAGAATTGCTTTAAATAAGCAAAACTCTGAGTTAATGAAGCCTGTAATTCTAAACTCAGTATTTGAAGGAAAATGGGATGTTTTCTTATATTCTGCTGCTCAGAAAAGGTTGCAGTTTTATTACTTTTTAATGTAGCATGAATAGCCCCCTTCCTTAGGGAAACTGACTTGAATTTATAATTTGTTATTAAAGAACTGGGCTGTTTCCATGCAGTTGTCCTTTTGTGTTTATCTATGGTTCAGGATGTCTCTGAGGATCACAATATAACATCCATCACGGAAGTGCCCATGAAAACCATCACTACCATCACGGAGGATACTGAGTCTCACGTCCATTGTTTATAAAATCCCATGTGATCTCACTCTCACCCACCTCTGCAAGGGGATCACATGATACTTTTCTCTCACCTTGAGGATATAATAGACAGGCAAATATGATCTTCATCTTATGGCTCTTAACATAGAATGGGAGAGACCAAGAAGCAAGCAGATGGTTACAATGCAGCATGATGAGGCTGATATTTGGGGAAACGATTCAGGGGTTCCCAGCCCAGTTTGCATCAGCGAAGAATTTCTGTAGAAATTGACATTTAAGCTGAGATTGTAAGAATAGTTGGAGATATTCTTAAGGCAGGGGAGAGAAAGAGTGTTCTGGAAGGGGAAGAAGAAACAGCATATGCAAAGGCCCAGAGGTGGGAAAGAATCAGACATTTTTGTAAAGAGAGAACTGAGTGTGGTTGAAGTCAGTGGTGTACTGGAGCTGGCTGGTATCAACTTAGGAGAGTCTGTCCTGCACATCTCTTCCAAATTCCATATTCAGTGACATCACAATGGTAATCTAAAATTGGCCATGGAAACTGACAAATGCTACAAATCAAGACTTTTTTCCATCCCCCAGAGAGCCATTTACAAGCACCCCATTGGTTAGAATGCAGACTAGTTAGAATGTAGACTAGAGATAGCTGTAGAAAATAAAAGACAGGAAAAGAGGCCAAACTATCATTACATCCATCTAGAAAGACTAGTAACATTACATTGTATATAGATAAGGTTACATTACATTTGTAATGTCTAGCTTCACTTTCAGGAAAAAAAAAAGGGGATAACTGAAATACAGAGGACACAAAGCCAGAATAATAATGGTAGATACTGACATCATGGCAGCCAGAATGAGGGACAAGAACATTGATAGATCCAGAAGTATCCTTAAGAAGAGGCTTGTATTTGAATGCCCAGATAGAGACAGGAGACAAGGACTTGGCCTATGGAAGGTGGGGAGTTGGAATGAAAATGCTTCCACTGTCAGAGCCCTCAAAGAGCTGCACCTCCGTAAGGGGACAATAAAGCTTCACCTACCTGCGTGGAAGGTGGTAAGAAAGCTTGTTTCCACTCCAGCTCTCAGTGGGAGAGAAAGTACTCCCATATCCACTGTCAGAGCCCTCAAAGAGCTGCACCTCCGTAAGGGGACAATAAAGCTTCACCTACCGGCGTGGAAGGTGGTAAGAAAGCTTGTTTCCACTCCAGCTCTCAGTGGGAGAGAAAGTACTCCCATAAGAAATCAAAATTCCAGGTCTCTGCCTCATATGGGTTTAGAGATCAAATTGACACTTTTCACATGTTGCAAAAATCTGACTTTGAGAATGTAGCATAACCTGAGGGACTGCTGCAGAAGAAAGTGCAAACGTGCTTCTTCTAGGGGAACACACCCACAATCATGTTATCAAAGGATTCCCATTAAAATCACAAAAAGTAAAAAAAAAAAAAAAAATCAACTCAATAAAGACAGCCACACACACACACCCACACAATTCACCATGGGAGAAGGAAAAGAAAGGAAACATTCCACAATGCAGAACACCTGAGACTACCAGGGTGGGAGTAGAGGGACCCATTGAAGATGAGCTCACAATCAAAGTTTACAAAACGCACAAGAAAAATATTCACCATGAGAGGCAACATCATTTGTGGTGACAGAACAATCTGAAACAGACTTGGAAAGTTCTCTCAGCCGCAGTGTGGCAGGTGATTGAGGGAGAGGCCAGAGGCAAGATCAGTTAGGAGGTTATTGGCTCTGGTCTAGATGATAAATGGAGGTAGCAGATTAGAGGCAATGGGAATTGAGAAAATGTGACTATTTTAAGAGCATATTACAATCATTTTATAGATGAGAAATCTGAGGTAAAGTGATTTCCACAAGATCCAAGCAGAAATAGAACTCTAACTCAGATAGGCTGAGTCAGTTGCTTCCTGGATAGAAGACCCACATGTAGAGAAAATATTTTCCATATCCCACAGTGACCAGCATTTGTCCTAACATTGGAGAGGGAGAAACATGAAGTGGCTGCTGCCTCCTTTCTGCTTCTCCAAGCCTGGCCAGCACATTGGTCACTCCCCATGGAGGTGAGAACCTGACATTCCCTGACATCTCTGTGGCCCAGAGTATCCACTCCCTCTTACCTTCTGCTCCAGCTCTTTTCTGGACGTCAGCTCTGTGTCCAGCCTCTCCTCGCATTGCTGTAGACGCTTTCTGAGAAACTCGTTCTCCATCTGAGCGCAGTCAAGGCGCATCTGCCACTCGTCTGCTGGGAGACCAGGGTGGATGTAAGGCAATTTCACAATATTCATGGAGCCCTTGAACCTCAGTCTTGAACTTCGGGTTAAGAAACTGTAATTGAAGTCCAAGTTTTAAGAAACACTTTCTCCAGGCAGCCCGTCCTGACCACCTCCAGCTGTCTAAAGTCCTTGAATGCTCGCTGTTTTAAGATTGGTTGTTTAATTGTCTTTACAAGTGTACTCACACCTTTCTTTTTTCAAGAAAATTCCATCTTCCTTAAGGGCAGAGGAGCTGTTTTAGTCCTCCGTGAGTCCTTAACACACTCTAAAAGAGTTCCCTACACTCAGATTAGCAATACATGTCGATACGAGCTTGCCAATTGCCTTATGAATCTAACAAAATCTTCAGGCAAAAAGAATTATCCTACTGACCAACCCCATTGGGGGGCAAAGAGTATGTACTTATTGACTATTTAGATGAATTAAAAAATAAATGAATTAGCAATAATTCAAGGGTGTAGTAAATGCATAGCAATAGAAACTGGTTACAAGATGTGTCTATGAGATAACATGGATAACAAATCCCTTGATAAAAAATAAATGAATTAGCAATAATTCAAGGGTGTAGTAAATGCATAGCAATAGAAACTGGTCACAAGATGTGTCTATGAGATAACATGGATAACAAATCCCTTGATTGGTAAAAATATTAAAAAGCATTTGCTGGTTTGATTAAAACTGTTTGGCTGAATAGAATGAGCTAGTTTAGGTTATGATGTCTCATCTTTTGACCATCTGAATAATAGAATAATGCCTTTTAAATTAATGGAGCTGCAGAAAACATTCCACAAGCAGGCAATTTAAGATAGAGACAATCCACTTATTTACCTATCATCCATCCATCCATCCACCCACCCACTCATCCATCCAAACACTCATTGAGCACATTACTTTTTGCCAGGCACAAGGGATAATGAAATGAGTAAGAAGCCATTTCCTCTCAACTTCCAGATAATCAGTGAGGAAGGCAAATGTGTAAAACGATAGCTGCAGCCTAGTTTGATCAGGGCTGTCTTAAGGGAAGCTTATGAAAATCCAGAAGAGGGTTCAAATTCATAAGAGCAACAAACTTGTTTTGCTCATCATTGTGTCCCCAGAACATGACTACAATGCCTAACATATAGTAGGTGCTCAATTAACTTTCATTGAGTAGGTGAATGGATGAATGGATGGATGAATGGGTGAAGAGATGGTAGGGTGGGGGATTAATGGATAAATAGTAGGGTGGTTAAGTGGAATGGTGGATAGATGGATGCTAGGGTGAATGGATAGGTGGACACACTGATAAATGGATGGATGTATGGATGGATAAGTGAATAAATGAGTGGATACATGAATTGATAAATGGTGTTGGATAGACGGTAGGGTGGAGGATTTATGGATGGATAGTTGGGTGGGTAGGCAGAATGATGGATGGCTGAATGTTAGGGAGGATGGAGAAGTGGGTCCATGGATGACTGGATGGATGAATGGATGGACGGATGAATTAATGGATAGATGGATGGATAAATAAGTGAATAGATGAAAGAATAAGTGGATTAATAAATGGATAGATAAATGCATGGTAAGTTGAATGAATAGGTTGATGGGTGGATGGATGAAAGGATGGACGGATAGAAGAATGGATGGTAGAATTAAGACCTTGGAAGAGGTGACCCCAATAGAGATTTACACATCACTAACCCGAAAGAAGGATGATATAACAGTAAAGCGTTAAAGCTTGTTCAAGTTTCCACTAAGGTAAATAATATGATGATGGGAAAATAATTCTGTCCCCCCACCAGGAAAAAGCCTCATGGTAGCAAGCAGCACAGCCTACAAAAGAAAAGGAAAGCAGGAGAAGCATTTCTGCAGCTTCCTATGTGTTCTGTGCTACGATGTGCTACACAGTGCATGGCATGGGTGGGCAACATGAGCGAGAAAGGAAACTGTTCTCCACCCTTCAAGGCTCAGCTCCACATCCAATTTCCATGCCCAAGCGAGCCACTCTTAATCACCAGGTAGAATTCAGCCTTTCATTATCTAGTCACCCTTTCCCTGGGTTTATCTGATCTCCACATTTATACTGCAAATTTCTTGAGAAACAAGCTCAACTAAAACTCTTCTGTAGCCCCCACAGTGCCCAGCTCAGTGCTGGATGCATATAATAAAAAGCTATCTTTAAATATTTAGCTATGCATAAAGAGAAAAACCATGAATTTTTATAATTTACACTCCAGCTTGATCCATAGAGGAGGTTGTGGTGCCATTACAGTGGCATGATTAAAATGTTTTATTGCTTCTTTCAACTTTCCTGTATTTTAGGAATTTTCTGTAATGGGTATGTATTACTTTCATAATGAAAAACAAAATGTTTGTGGATTGTCTTCATGGAATTAGCATCCAGCACTAGGAGCCTATATTGCATTCTGACTAATGTGCTCATAAGCTAGGCGCATCTCCTCCTCTCATACAACTCCCCTATTTTGCCACAAGAAAACAAACTGGGGATTATCATTTAGACATGAATCTCAGTCAGATGGGACTGGTGCTGATGCTCTTCTTGGGAAACTGCACCGTCCCACACTGCAGATCCTGTGCCTCCACACGCAACGTGTCCCTACCTTGTTGGGTGTCTCATATCAGAGAATCTCAAACTTCTCGGCATTAACCTCCCTGGTAAACGCCTTCCCTGGGAGTAGCCAGGATGAGAGAGTGAGAGTAGAGCAGAAAGAAAATGCACCTTGTCTCTTCTCCAGAAAGTGGCTTAACGCTTTCTACCAATTATCTGTCACTATCTCCATTGGAAACATGAGGAAACAGAGGCAAAACAGTTTTTTGGCCCAAAGCCATCCATCTAATGAGATGGAGTCAAGATTCAAATCAAGAAATGCATCATAGGTTCCACTTTTCACCACTAAATTGCCTTCCTCAAAATTTATTTTTAAAATAATCATATAAATATAGAAGTGTCTTATCCAATTTTTTTTTCTTATCATCCTTTGCGTTATTACTAAAGAGCTTCTGTCACATTGCTAATTTATTCTTTGGGATGTTGTTGCATTATCTGTTTAATGTCTGCCTGTCTGCCTGTTCCATTAGACTGTAAGCTCCAAGAGGGCAGGGGCTGTGCTCATTTGCTCTGCCAAAGTCCCGGCCCCTAATGCAGTGTCTAGTGCATATTAAGTGTTCAGTGTGTATCTATGAATGAAATAAAAAGACAGCTTTGTCCACCAGCGTCCAACCCCAAGGGTCCGCCGCTGCTTACCTCCTCCAGTGTGATTTTTTTCCAAGTCATTTAACTGAATTTTCTGCTGGGCTTCTTCCAGCTGTTTCTCCACTTCTTTCAAATTCTTCTGGACTTGCTCATACTTTCTCTGGAAGAAAGGACTCAAGGTCCAAACTGAAGCTAGAGAGGAGCCTGGGCTGGCCATCTCACCCATGGTACCTCTGAGACCAGGGGTTGGCCACCTCCTGCACAGTGTTGACCCATGGAGACTCCAAGGCCAGATACTGGCCACTCTCTGCACATTCCTCACCCAAAGCACCTCCAAGGCCAGGAATGTCCACCCATCTGGGCTGGCCATCTCACCCATGGTACCTCTGAGACCAGGGGTTGGCCACCTCCTGCACAGTCCTGACCCATGGAGACTCCAAGGCCAGATACTGGCCACTCTCTGCACATTCCTCACCCAAAGCACCTCCAAGGCCAGGAATGTCCACCCAGGGCACAATCTGCAACCAGGGGTTGGCCACCTCTTGCACAGTCCTGACTCATGGCACCTCCA